AGCTTTTCTTCTGATTCTAATGATTACTCGATTGCCTGTACAGGGTGTGAAAGGACTTTTTTTTTAGTAGGATATTGGAGCTGACCAACATGTCTTAATGAAACTCATACATTCTCTTACATGACATTTCTGCTTCCTGGAATCATGTCGTTCTCCAAACATTTCTGCATTGCTCACATTTCTGATCACTACTAATTCTTCTAGAAAATCCCCTGTTTCACCAGTATTGGATTAGGCATTGGCTGCAGCTTGCTAAAAGCCACATGCAGCCTAGAATACACCTGTGCAGCACTCTGATCTCACCTGTTTCTGTCAAAATCAGCAGCTAATTCCAGGAGAAGCTGCCAACCAGTACTAACTAATGTCAACTTAAGTGTCTTTTATTCAATCTTTCAACTTTTCTGAAAGCTGACAGATGATCTCGTTGCTACTTGCACAATGTGAGAGCTACAGCTGGGGAGAATTACACGCTGCTGCAAACATGAGGTTGTCTGGTGGGAGTGCCCTGGAACATCATCCTTTGCATATTTACAGCACATATTTTAAACACGTGGTAAGAATAAAGTAATGTGCTTGATTTTTTTTTTTAAAACAAGAACCAGTAGTGAGATGTGCAAAACATATAGCTATTTTTCCCAGGGATATTTTCTTATGGCTGGTAATATGGCACTGAGCTGAGATCCAGCAGAGCACTGCAGTGCAAGGCAAGGGGCTTCTCTCTGTTCTCCTTTTCCTGCAGTAACTACAGGAGCAGCCAACATAATGACAAAGTCCAAGTGAAATGACAGAGGACCCTACTTGTTTATGCATGCATTCTTTTATGTTACCCTTGTTGTTGGGACTAATGGGACATGAGAGCTGGGGTTGACACACACATAGGGTACATACACATTTCACCTATAGGTAGTAATGTATACATTACTCACACATAGGCAGACTCTGTTAATGATGAATAAAAACAGCCCAAATGAGCACACAGCAGCCCAATCTTTGACCTTGAATTGCTGGGGTATGTATGAATCAAGCACACGTTTGACTAGGAGGGTTGTAGGATGTGTGTGTGTGTGTGAGGACCAAAACCTGCTAACACACTCGCACTGTGGGGACTCGACTAGCTTCTGGCCCCCACAAGGAAATCACTGAATTTTAGGGTGGCAACATGGTTTAGGGTTAGCATGAGGTTAGGTTAAGTATTAGGGTTAGGGTTAGGTGTTAGGCAAGTAGTGGTTATGGTTAAGGTTAGGATGAGTCTACAGCAAATGAATATAAATCAATGTAAAGTCCCCACAAGGAATGAAAACACAGTGTGTGTGTGTGTGTTCCTAATTGATCTGTTGTTGTCACTTGGAGCAGAAATAGTTGAACAGTCTCCTATGGTGTCAACTAATCAATCGGTGTTCAGCCTCTTTTATAGAGCAGCAGGAGGAAATGTCACTGAGAATCTTGTTGCCACACATGCTTGTCTAATGCCCACGGTGAAGAAAAAAAGCCACTTTTCAAATCTGTATAACAACCCCACTTCTTTATTTGTCCAGTTTATGCGGTGCTTAAAAATAAGAGGCAACAAAATAACTGATCTTCTTGAAAAGGCAATGACAGCATACTTGTTTGATTGGCCTGACTGAACTAGCAGTCACTCATCGGCAGTGCTATTGGTTTGTCGAGAGGAAGGGGGGAAGGCAACAAGGAGTGGGGTGCCAATCATCGCCCAGCAGCTGCCCTCCTCTGAGACATGGCCTATAAAAACAGCCTGAGATGGAGACACACATACACACACATGCTGTGATGTCGATGCATCCTCAGGTCATCATTCTATTCCTGTCGCAGCAGGATGATAGCTGCTGAACACCATTGCAATGCAATTAGTTTGTTTTGAGAATCAGTACTGGAGAAGATTAAACCTTGCTGCCATGCATGACCAAAGGCAGGAAGTCACAGGTGTCTCTTTCTTCTGTCTCCATTTCCTTTCATGCCTCTGTCTCCGCTAACTCCTATAAGATGCCAGTGGGAGTGACAGCAAGGTGACAACAGCTGACAAACTGCTGATGGAGAAAGAGTGAGTTAGTGGTGTGTGTGTGTGTGTGTGTGTGTGTGTGTGTGTGTGTGTGTGTGTGTAAAAGAGAGGGATAGGACATACCAAGGGATACCAGTGATGGCAAGAGACAAAATAGGAGCAGCTGTGAGTGGCCAAAACAGCTGATCAAGCACTGATAACTCAACTTGCCACTGTGTAGATCAGAGGTCTCCAGTCAACAGTAGGAATTTGTGATGGACACTGACCACAAACCTATACATATGGCTACACCTTGGCAGGTTCCAGACAGCCACAGCTACAATACAGCATGGAATAAATCCTCAGTCACAAAAACCTAACTTCTGTTAAGTACAATGACTTCTTGTGGTTTAGACTTAAAGCATTTTTGTAGGCAGGATAAGTCTTATGTGTTAGCAGAGCTCAAATCACAGCACCTGTGGCCTCATTCCTCACAGCTCACATACTGGCTGAATGGCAGACTGACAGCATGTAAAGACTGGGGCAATGTCAGTTGGTGTGTGTGTGCTTGGTGTCATGTTTCAGACAAGGTGGCAGCCATGTACAGAGTAGGGCACAGACAGTCTGTGAGCTGTTTTGAGCACCGGCTCCTTATTAAGTGCATTGAGCCAGACTGACCCTAATAACTTAGAACTGCTTCCATGCTGAACCAGCACAGAATAATTACTATGCCAGGCAGCTTCTATCATAGCAGATAATTCAACCCATTAAGGTTTTTTTTTTTCCTTATTTGCCTCAAAGCACTTGAATACAATAACTGTAGCATATTAGCAGGAGGAGAAAGCCATCTCTCAGTTTTCTCAGTCTCGTTTAACAAAAGGGCTCAAACCTCCCCTCAACCAAAGGTAATACCATTAAGGTGAACCCATTCCCTTTGTCCATTAACCTTTTCTGCCCTCCATACCCTTAGGGCCAGTCTTGTTCACAGCTATGGATGAGTGTCACTCACTTCAGATAGCTGCTGCCCAGAGGCGAACAGTACAGAACCCTATCATTCCTAGTGAGAGCTGAGCTCAGGCTGTCCTGGTGCACTGACAGGTCTGCTGGGTGCAGGTGACACTGACTCTACATGCTGAAGGAAGGGGCTCCAGGCCTAAACAGCATGCCTTTATCCTAACCTGACTGACATCTATTAACACATCATCCTCTTAACCAGAGATCTGAGATCACAGCTCCTCGGGCAATAGTGACACACATGTACAATAGAAATGTGCAAATACCATGACAAATAACGGTAGCGGAGGCTGAGCTCACCACAGGATATTTTCCATGTGTTGTCCTTTAACACGTAACATGTTAACACTCATGTCAAAATAGCATTCATCTTACCAAGCTGTACAGGCTCATGAGTCATGAAAACATGTACACGCACACGCTGACATGCTCCCTGCCAGTACCCTGATTACATCAACCTCCTAACCTTTTTGTCACACCTAGGCTTATCATCAGCACCCACCAGCTCTCACACCTCAAGGCCGGACACCCATCATTCTTCAGGCCTGTGTGAGAAAGAAGTCATCTGGGGATCAGGGACCAAGTGGAGTCTGAATCATGACAAGCCAGGACAGGCCAGGCAAACAAAACACACAGCGCCCTGTTTTTAGCCTAGCCGGCTGGGTGCCTCTCCGGGACTGCAAGTGCAGATGGTGCAGAGGGCAAGTCAGCTACACACACTACTAACATATCGCATGCGTTTAAGTGCATGTGGATCTGTGACAGCATGGCTGTGTACATAATCCAAATAATGAGTTGATGCAAACAGAATTAAGAGTTAAACAGCCTTCGGAGTTTCCTGGTTTTTGTTAGGACTTTATAATAACCAGACATCAACTGGAAATGTCAGTGTTTCACAAATAAAAGCAGACTGAAAACTAATAATGCCCTTTTCTCACCCTCATTGTTTGCTTGGGCCAAGTTCCCAAAATGTGTTTGATGCTACACATCAGGACCATTGCCAGTTTGTAAAGTCATCATATAAAAAAAGTTGGTGTGAAATTGAGTGTTTTGAAACACTAGAACTGACTACTTAAGTTTTTTTAATTATCTCTACCAGAAAAAAACAAAATCAACAAAAAACACATAAAAATAAGAAAAATAGAATAAAGTGTTGCTGATAGAAAATATAGGTTTTTCAGACTACAGTGAAACTGGGTGGAAATTCAATTTGGAAGTGATGAAGTAGCCTATTCACTGAAAAACCAGCAGAAATTACAACACTGATGTCTTTTTCCTAGGAGATATTTTCGTCCTCCACATTCAGCTCACCCAAAAACAGTCTCAGAACACCATGTGATGAAGGAAACACAGGGCTGTATTCTTACCCTCTCAAACTCTAACCTGCCTGCTGACCCTCAATGTCACTTTGTGTGCATGTTTGTTGGTGTTTGAATGAGTTTAAGGGCACACAGAGACAAGACTGGGTCCTGTCTCCAATGAAGGGCCTTTGCAAGGTATCTCCCTAAAAAGGTAAATTCACCGAGGTCCTTAGTGGATTAGGAAACCCTGCCCAGAGCCAGCCTAGCTCCTGGCTTTGTTTTGCTTTCAAGTGACCTGCTGCTGCTACTGCTGTGAGGAAATGCTGCTCCCAAAACATTCACTTAGGTCAGCCTGTTCAGTAAATGTAAGCCTCTTAAATTTGAATATACTGTATATTTAGAAAGTTCTTTAAATTCAGAATATATACAACACCTTTAAAATATTGATGGTGCAGTGTTGAAATACTCTTCCAGTCAGAGGATACAGGAAAGGCAAATAAATGCCTTATCTTGTTGTTTTGTGATCACTATCACAATTCAACCATCAACAGCCTGCTCAGAGATTCAGGTATGTGGTGCTAGTAGAAGCATATCCTACAGTAGTTCTCATTTCCCTCATCACACAGAGAATGTGTTTAGGTGCTAAGATATAAGTTTTTCCACATGTAGTTATGAGACTAAAGGAAACTTACCTGTTTGCAACAAGCCGATTCCACTGTCTGACACAAGATAATATCGCTTGATGTCTTGAGCAACACCTGTAAACAGGAAGAGAGGGAAAACAGACATGTGGTTTTATGACTTAATAATAATCAGAATCACAGGTATCAAATACTCAGTTCTCTTTGACTTACAGTAGATTTATTCTGGCCTCATGGCAGTCTTTTACAGCTTGTGATTACTGTGGGATATGATGGATAGATAGTACTCTGGGGCAATCATTCAATTAACATCCCTGAAGAGCAGCAGGACCTCCCTGATAAGCGCTCTCTTGGCTGCCATACAGTGCTAAAATTTAGTCAGTGGCTGCAAAGATTTCACCACAGGGTGTTATACAGCATACAAACAATTTCTTGTTATGAAAACGTTCTCATAACACAGAGACACATACACACTTTCTCCACCATTAGCTTCCCATTGGCTCATGAGGGGTGGCTCAGCACAACAATAGCCTATGACTCGTATGTACAGTATTACTAGTATGCACAGCATGCACTAGAACTTTCATAAATCTTTTACCACACTGTAAACATCAGAAGACTGAGATGAAGAAGTGGATCAGAGGGTATAAAAAATCCCCTTATCGTTACCATATGATGTTTGGCATCAGTAAATAAGATGCAACAAGTCTCATCAAATTAATTCTGCACCTCTTGTGACCACCAGCATGGAAAGTTTCAAAGACTTGTTTTATTGAAAAGACGAAGGAAAAAGAAACGATACATCTCTGTTCCACAAATCCTTGCAGTCCAGATGCAGTGTGCTGTGTTTGGTAGTGCTGTCTGACTCCCTGTGAAACTGGCAGGCTGATTTCTGGGCATTGCAACATAGCTCATGAAAATGTAAAAGTGACATGAACAACATCTTAAAAAGCTGACTGCCTTTGATCTGTCTCTTCTGAGCCCAGCAGACCAGTGAAACTTAGCTTAGCCCGACATCTAGAGCAGAGCACCTGAGTTGCTATAACCTTTCATGTATAATGTCCTTGTCACCTCAAGGCTTTTGCCTTTGAAAGAGATGAAAAAAAATCTCAGCCAAGCAGGTAAATAATTGCAACTGAACATAATAGATGTGGACGAATTCAGCAAACATTGGCATTGGACTGTGACTGGGAGCAGAGACATGCATTAGGTTCCGGCCATCTGAGTCACCTGCTCACATTTTCACACTCCAGGCAGCATTCTTGTTCAAGCGCTATATCCAAAACATTGTTTTTATGTTGCTTTCATCATGACGTAATGTAGGGATGCACATATACTACTTACTGTATGTATCAGCCAGTGTCAGTGAAATACACAGTTCAGTCTCCTGCACTGTCAATAATGAGGAGAACCTGAACTCCCCAAATTAGCATTCACCACAAACACATGCTGTGCTTCAATGTGCTACATTACCTTTGCTTTCAAGTATCTTCTTCCTACAGCAGTCAGAGCATACATTGAAGCAGTTATAAAGCATTAGACTTCTAGGTATGAATGAATCAGTTTATATTTCTATGCAAGTACATTTCAGCCCTCATCCAGTCCAAGTTAGGGCCAGTAAAACAGTGACAATAGTGTTTAACAGTGGACTTTACAGTGTACTGTATAACTGCATCTGTAGTCTTAATTGGCCAGGGAGACATGCACACACACACACACTGTAGATGCTGGGAGGGAGATTCCTTGGCCAGATGGTGGAGCGTCCCTCCTGGACAGAGTCTGTGTTTGTCTGAGCCACACCCATCTACACTTACCACATAATTATCAAGAATTAATCAAGGTAGAGTAGACCAAGCGTTATTTACTATAGAGCTATAGTCGTGTTATAACAATCCAAGTAGGTCAGACCTATTAAAAACATGAAAAAATTGCATGAGAAGTTAGTATGATATAAATGATATCCTCAATTCCAGCACCTACCTGTGTAAGTGGTGGTAGTTAGATCAAAGCAACAGTGTTTATTGCACTAGATTCAAATGCGATGTGCTATGTAATGAACTACATGCTAATCTGTAAGGGATTAGAGCCAGCAGCTCAGTGTTTGTGTAGCAGTGAATCAAAACTATTATCTCTGCCCTTATTGAGGCCTTTTCCTTCAGACTTTTTTTTTTTTTTTTTTTGGCAGTCAATCTGAGATTCACATTTTTGTACTTTCAGGTAATGTAATGTCTTAGTTGTTACCATGGCAATATTGTTTGGGAGATAAAGAGACAAATGTCAAGAGGCCACAGAAGATCTCTGCTTCCCAAATCTCCAAATTGCCTTTTTCTAGTCCTCATTAAAAGTGGACCCAGTGTTTATACTTGAATATGAATATCAATATTTCTGCAGACAACAGGCTTTTCTCACAGTGCACTGTCCACACAAGTGTTTCGACTTTACCGAGGTGATTATAGGATGCTAGAAAGGCCTAATAAGACACAATATGCACAGTGAAAAGACTGATATTTTACTCTATAGCTACATATCAGATCGCCACAGCCATGGGACAGTATTGCACATATAACCCAGCAGATCCATTTAACAACCCTAATGAGTTTCTCAAGTCTCAGGCCTCCAGGGGTCTGTTTGCATTTAAGCATACTGCCAAGCAAGAACCATCACAGGAATGTGGATCTTCCTGACTGCACACATTAATAACACCAGCTACATCCATCCTCATTCAAGGTAGCAGCACTCACACAGTGACAGTATGTAAGCCAACAGCTACCTTGTAGGCCACTCCTTCCATTCTGTACTGTACACTCCCTTGGTATAGCTTCATAAAACCATGATGAACAAGTTGGTGGATAAATAATCAGTCCAGAGTTGTTGAAGTTTTTAACATTTTGCCACAACATTCTGACTTTAAATGTGCAGCTGCCCTTTAGTGCAGTTGTTAATGGGCATGTTTTGCAATGTGCAGTAAACCACATGTAGGTATAACACTTACAAGACCCCTTTCATGTATTTATTGTGATGCGGAACTCTACATACTACTGTCAAAAGACGGAGCTGGAGCCAGGGAGGAGCTGCCCCCGCTCAAAGAGTCCACCTTAATGGCCACTGTTTTCAGTGCAGATTTTTTGTATGAATGGTACTTTCAGTCTTCTCTGATTGCACTGTAAGGCTGCCAGTAGACTGTTCACTTGCTGTATAGAACAGGATTTGAAACCTCATAAAACTAAGACAAATGTTTATTTTTCCAGTGAAAACAACAATACTTAATAACTATTTCTAAAAATGCACCACACAGGTTATCTGTTGTCATTATTGATTCCTGTATTAATTCAAGTCTTCACTTAATATGATAACATAATCCAGTGAAAACATTTACATGGGGAAACATCATGGTCAGTGGTTTTAAACATATATAGCACTTTTCTATGTCTTGAAGCTCAAAGTGCTTTACACTATTTGCCATTAACCCATTCGCTCATACAGATGTCCAGTCACTCACACAGTGGTGCTATTACAGGGGATACCTTCAGGTTCAGTGTATTGCCCAAGGACCCTACGGTTGTGTTCTGCTCTGCCTCCTGAGCCACTGCTGCCCCACAGCATGCTGCCTTTCCAATGCCATGTTCTGTGCAGTGACATGTATAGCCAGCATTGCTCCTCTGGGACCACCAAACTCACACACATGGACCATAAGTAAACACACCCCAACAACACCACACCCATTACAGCCATACACAGGTAGGCACACGCAGAACTCCATCAGCTTGGGGAGAACAGACATTTTATCAAATCCCCTACAGAGGCTTGTGGATCTATGGCCTTTCTGGTTCTATTTCTGTTCAGAGACACTAGGCTAGGAGGAAGGAAAGAACAGCAGTCCAGTTTAACAGTGACAGGCGCTGGTGAGAGACAGAGAGAGATACTGTGGAAGTGAGCAGTTGTGAGGAGCAGAGAAGTACTGTATGCGGTGACTACATTCAGTCAGGGCTGAACTGAATTTGTGAAGTAT